GAAATTTAGACAGCGCGAAAAGGAGATCCATAAAAGGTTTAGCATGAATGCCACAGTAGCAAATTCTGCAATCGCAAAATTAAAACCTCGCAAATCTGTCCGGATTCTGGAAACGCGAACTAAAAACGCCGCGAAAATTTCACGCTTTACAGTACCCAAGTTACGGGTCAGTCCGCGGCACACTCCCTTCATTACGTAACCTACCTGCATCACGCCCTGGAGGGAATGGAAAGGGAAAGTCTAAAGATAAATTAGCTGTCACCGCCAGGATCCAGGACTCAAATCAAGGACCTTCGCCTTAAAAGGCCAGCGACGCTGTAGCCACTGAGCTATGGTGTGGTCATAGCGACGCTCTAGCCACTGAGCTATGGTGTAGTCGTAGCGACGCTCTAGCCACTGAGCTATGGTGTAGTCATAGCGATGCTCTAGCCACTGAGCTATGGTGTAGTCATAGCGGCACTAGCCACTATGCTATGGTGTAGTCATAGCGACGCTCTAGCCACTGAGCTATGGTGTAGTCATAGCGATGCTCTAACCACTGAGCTATGGTTAGGGATATCAGCAAACACACTGCGCACGGGGTTTGCGCAGTTTTCAGCGCTACCATACCAATGTACGGACTGGCGGGGACAAAAAATTGACGCAAATAAAATGGCGACTGGTCGAACGTGGCTCGCGACCTACATAATTATTTGAATAATTTGAAAACACATACTGCTGTGAACAGACCCCCATTGTTTCGATTCTGATGATGTCCGACTACTGTGCACCTCACTTTGGGCATCCTCTGCCAGCAATTACACTAACGAACTTATACAAAATCACAGTATTAAAAATCGGTGAAGGACAACAGGCCCATGTTCGTCGATCGTCCAAGCTTCTTCATCTTCCTGAGTTCTTCTTGAATGATCGACCTTGTGAACTTTCGACCTCTGGGACCTTGGATTGCTTCGGTCAATTTTTTTCTTGCTTGGCACATGGATAGATCCATGGGTGAGGTACCAGTTCACCAAAAATTAGAAGATTTCTCCGGTGGGAACGTTGTAAAAAATCGCCTTCGATTCACCCATGCTCCTTGGGCATCGAAGGACAAATTTGAAAATTCGTCTGAAGAAAGTCCTGGGGCTCGGCTCATCTGTAGTTGATCGCGTGGCTGTTACCGTAGGCATGTCACTCTCTACCCACGAATCCTTCACCAGCAGCGAATATACGAAGCAATCAACGAAACGGCAGATCCTGAGCGCAAGGTTCCGACTTCAGCCGCCATTCTCCTTCTTCTCCATCAAGACTCCTTCCAGTTTCCCGGCAAAAATATTCATTTTCTGACTTGGACTTTTCTGGCCGCGCGCGTGGCATGCTGACATGTACAAAATTCGATTACATCATAACTGCGCAAACCCTCTGCGCAGTGTGTTCGCTGATATCCCTACTATGGTGTAGTCATCATCCAGTGCTAGTTTCCTAAACACAAAGCACGCTGGTATACTTGCAGTCATGACTAGTGGCTATGCTTGTTAGGATGCTAGTATCTCCATCTGCCCCGCTGACGTCTGGCTGCCAATCCAGCTGATCATCATGCGACAAGTAGCTTTGGGCTCTACGGGCAGGGGTGGAGATGGCTGTTGCCACAGTTGCTGCCGGTGTGCAAGTGCCAAGACCTGCTTGCCACATTCCTACACACACGCACACGCTGCACACACTCTTGTTCATGAGATGCGAGAAGTGATAGCACCTGCTACATGTAGTGCAGAATGAATGCATACTGATGGGCAGTGTGTACATTGTTTCATCATCACGTCGGCATCAAATACAGTGCTAACAAGTAGTGAAATCCAACCCCATGAATATAACAGCATTGCTGGCCTTACACTACGAACAGTCAGATGTGCAGTGAACATGCCTATGCTTTATTCATGATGTTGGATTCCACTTTCTGCAACTGTAACTCCATGTGTGTGTTCGTTTACAAAATAAGACATGTGCAGTACATCCATACATACATGCATGCTATGGCCAGGCCTAGTTATAATCTACCGCGTCGTGAATGGCCTATATCATCTGTTGGTGGCCCTGGTGGCTGGTGACCATCTGTTCCAGGAAGCTGCCAGGAAGGAAACCTGGTGCTGTTGTTGCACGCTGCCCTGGCACGTCTGTGACTGTTGTGTGTATCTGGTTGATTTGGAGCGGGTAGGTGTGATTGTGCGCTTATTTTGATGTGTGAAGAGTATGTGTGACTGGCAGTGTTCCATGCCTCGTGTACGGTAATTACACTACTGCATGTACATGTATTTGCTGGTGCTGGTTGCACTTCACCGTTGCTTTGATGCCAGCCGTGTCTCGTTTGGTAACCAGAAGCCGTGCTATCAGGTGATGTTACTGTACAGCGGTGTTGACAGCTGAAAAGCAGTTGACCGAGGTGGAGCTGTGAGCTTGCTCAGGTAGTCAAAGTGTGTTTGTCTGATGGTTTACTGGTTTACTTAGCTGTGCTGTCTCTCTCTCAGCACCTTGGCCAGCAGCAAGGCATGCAGTTGATGAAAACATTGATCTCTGCTCCCCACTTCTGTTGATGAGTGAGTGGCTTGTGACCTTCAGTTGTCTTCTGCAGCAAGTTAGTCTGTTTGTGCCTCAGTGTTGGCTTCTTCAGGGTAGTAGTTTGTTTGGCAGGTTGTACTGTAATTTCTAATGAAACCTAGTAGATTTCCTCTGTACAGTGAGAGAAAGAAAATACAGGGTGGCCGTGACTGAGGAGTGCTTCTCATTGCTTCCGTGTCCTGAAGTGCCAGTGTGTGCCTGGGGTGTGGCAGCTAAGTAGTGCTGCTACTGTTTCTGCTACTGCTACTGGTGATGCTGTCTCGCTAGTGTTCCAAGACTGTCAAACTGTGAGACTTCGGGTGGGTGTGTCGTGTGTGATCATCTGCAACTTGTCGCACTATGAGCAGTAGCCGTGTTGGCTCAAGCAGGGCCTCTGTCTATGGCAAGAAGGCTGTGCCATTGCCCAATAAAGACCCTTGGGATCCACAGAAACATGGTGCCGATGCAAATGCTGCTGCTGCGGCTGGTGCTGCTGGTGGTGGTGGTGCAGGGTCAAGATCCTCATTGTCTCCTCAATCATCAACCAAGCAAAGTAGTGCTGGCGGAATGCCGCCACAGCCAGCCCGCCGCAAGAGTTCGCATAAGCAGCATGCTGCACGCAAGCCATTGCCCAAGATGTCGAGCATTGACGAATCGAAGAACAATGAAGAAGTGACAGCGCCTATGTCCCTGCTTGATTTCTTCTCATCTAGCTCTCAAGCTGATCTGCTGCCCATGGTCGTCAATGTGAAGGAGGATGCTGCGTGCGATGTTGTCTCTCTGGTACGTGCCACTACTAAGAAGAGTAGCTTGTCCAATGGCTGCTTCCCATCTTCGGCTAGCCGTGAACACCACAGCAGCACTGGTAGTGATGCTGCTGCTGCTGCTGCGCTGGACGAGCCGATCACACACATCACTGTGTCGCAAGTGTCTGACCGGCGTACGCTGACTGCCGACACACGGCTGGCACTGATCAGCATTGCGGAGGAGAACCGCGACGTTGACATTGAACTCTCCAGCCAGGTGCAGCAGTCAGTACCTGCCAAAGGAAAGTACGGCGCCTGGACAAAGTATAAGGCAGCCTGTGGCGGTAGCTCGTCTTTCCAGGCGTATTTCCTCTACGAGCTAGTACAGCAGCAGCAGACACAAGCTGCAAAAGCATCTGGATGGTCGGCAATAAGGCAGGCAGTGGGTGGTACTGATTCTGGCCCTTCGCCAAGCTGTGTATGTCACTACGACGAAGATCATGTGTATCGTGATTTGGCCAGTCTGCTGTGTTCGCCTTCATCCTCGCCCGCTTTGTCTAGCCACGCCGATATCAGCATGCGGTATAGACGGCGTTTCATTGTGCCTCACGAGACTCAGCTTTCAACGGGATACCTGCTGCCGCCCGACTCTGAGCTGGTGGTGGCAGTGAGTGACGAAGCTCTATCCAAACTGGTTGGCCAGCAGAGCAATGAACGCCTGGACACGGCCGGCAATGATGAGCAGTGTGTAGCATGCTGGCTGCTGGAGAGGCCTGGCATCACACTGCCCGCGACGAGCAGTCGGCGGCGTGCATCGTTCGTGTCCGTGCCTCTGCACGCCCAGATGACATGCATGCCAAGCGATGCCAGTCACTGCACCATCCTGCACTATGCACAGCTGGTGGAGTACATGCGCACTCTGGACAAATCCGTTGTGATGCGGCAAGCCTTTGCCTATCCACTGCTGCAACGCGGCAAGGATTTCAAGCAGCTCTTTCCCAGTGCCACAACAATCTGCAAAGACGAAGAGTTTGTCGAGTGTGTCACTGTGGCTAGGCACATGTCGGTGGTTTGTGCGTCGCAGCTGGAGCTCTTCCGCGTGTCCGTCAACTCTGGCTTGACTGTTGCTCGCTTGCCAGGCTCGGCAAGCGATGGTCTGTACCGAGCCACCTGCCTGTATCTGAGCAAGCTGGCTGTTCCTGGTGGCCTAGTGACGGGCGTTGCCATTCCCAACCGCCGTGCCACTGTGCACGTCTCCACAAATGAATACTCTCTGCCGTTTGACGTGGCCACCAGTGTGCCGAGTGGTGGCTGGTGCACCTTGCCTCGCTCCACTGCGCGCGGCAAGAACCCTGCTGCCAAGTCCATGCCGTCCTCCCCGGTACTGCTGACCAGGCGAGCCAGTGACTTCACCACCACCAGCAGCAGCAGCAGCAGCTCACAGCCGGATTTTCTGCGCGAGCACTTGCTTTCCGGGAAAGATGCGGACCCGGATTGTGATGCTCCGAGAAGCAAGTCGGCCTTCGCGTTCCGCTCGCCAAGCCCATCACACCGTGAACGATTGGAGAGCTCATTCAGCACAATGTCCTATGACATGCTGGATGACTGCCAGAAGTTCAACAATTCAGGAACCTTTGAGCCCGTCGATTCGCCGAAACTGACCACTGCCGGCAGCGGCACTAAAAGCAAAGTGAAGACTGCTTTCGACACCATGCCCAATGTGCGCGCTGCGATCAGTTCTGTGCTGCCGAACCGCACGAAGGGCCGAACCAGCACCAGCAACACAGCCCTGTGGCACTTGTCCGATGATGCAGCAGCAGCCACTGGTACTGGTGTCAGTGCCACCACCAATGCTGCAGTTCAGGATGATAGCGCAGAACCTGGCAATGGTGGTGGTGGTGGCGTTGGCGTTGGCGGCAGCTCTGCTACTGATGCTGACAACTCTGCTCAGGGAGTTTCCTATTCAGTGAGTGATGTGACTGTGGACATGGACACTACAATACCACGTGCTACAAAGGCGACGCCCTCGGCGGATGAATCGTCTAAAGCGTCAAAAGTGGAAGCACAGAGCGGCGGGGGTGCTGATGCTGGGTCCCGCAGTGCAGTTTCGCGCTCGACTTCGTTTGTTGGCGCGGTCAAGCAGACTATGACGTTACGATCTGCCATCGGTAGCCTGCGCAAGAGGAGGCCAAGCGGTGAGCCACCGCCGGCACCAAGCAGTGCGTTTAATGAGTACAAACCGTCGGGCACCGTCACCGCTGCTGCTGCCAGCACATTTTCTACTGTTGGACAAGCTAGTGAGGTAACCCTAGCTAGTGCAGTTGTGGGACATGCGCTCATTATCGAAAGCGAATACTCTGAGCCGCTTTGCTCTATTGCACCGAAAGTGATGGCGCCATTGCCTACGGCTTCAAATGCATCCATGGGTATTAGCAGTGTTACGGGCAATGCTACCAGTGCTGTAAGCTGTACCACTAGTGCTGGTAGTCATGTGACAGCTGACCGGACTAGCACTGCCAATGCCAGTGCTGTTCCTGGTGATGAGCCCAGTGGCCCAACTACTCACTCTACCACCACAAGCGCCACCAAACAGAAGTCAGTAGCTGCTGCAGATGTGTCTGCGTACGAAGTGATCCCGTTCCATCCTATTGCGGATGTGAGAGCAGCGGTCGCTGTGCCCAGAGCAAGGTCGCCAGGCGTTGCCTCGTCTAAAGTACACACATTGGATAGTGCTGAACCTAAAGCAAAGCCAGCGAATGTCTCTGTGCCGAAGACTAGACCACCAGAAGCACCCAAAGCAAAGGCAGTGGATATCACCGCACCAAAGACTAAACCACCGGAAGCACCCAAAGCGAAGGCGGTGGATATAACCGCACCAAAGACTAGACCACCAGAAGCACCCAAAGCAAAGGCAGTGGATATCACCGCACCAAAGACTAAATCACCAGAAGCACCCAAAGCAAAGGCAGTGGATATAGCTGCACCAAAGACTCAACCACCGGAAGCACCTAAAGCGAAGCCACAGGCAGCTACACACCGTTCGGGATCGCCATTACGTACTCCGTCTGCGTATCACGGTAGACCGCCACCACCTGCCCCGCCAACCAAGGCACAGCGCAATACAGGACGTGGTTCCCCAGTTCCAATGGGGACGTCCAGTGGCACGCCAGTTGAACTACAATCCACTGCAGTTCATGCAGCTAGGCCAAGGCGGGCGTCTGTTGATAATGAATTGGCCGTACGGGATCACGGCGCCGGCGTTTTGGCTGCTGTTGCTACCTCTGCTGGTGGTGGTGGTAGTGGTGCTCTGGCTACTGTAAAATTCGGCACTGGAACCTACGAAGACCCTGAAGCGATCAAGCCTCTTGTATCACCAGTGGATAAGCGACGTGGCTCCTGTCCGGATGTCTTTCGCCTGGGGGAGTTCTCTCTAACAGGCAAGCAGCCAGCCGTGACTGCGCAAAGCACTGCCGTAGCTGAAAGCGAGTACTGCTTGGCACAGCCAGCCGTGACTGCGCAAAGCACTGCCGTAGCTGAAAGTGGGTATTGCTTGGCACAGCCAGCCATGACTGCGCAAAGCACTGCCGTAGCTGAAAGTGAGTACTGCTTGGCACAGCCAGCCTCGACTGTGCAAAGCACTGCCGTAGCTGAAAGTGAGTATAGCTTGGCAGGCGAGCCCTTGTCACAAGTCAACAAGGCTTCAGCACCTGTCCGACGCCGTGAATACCTGCCGGCGGCTGTGCTAGCAAGCCAGGAGAACACGACCGTGCCAGCTGCTGAAAGTGAGTATTCCTTTGCGGGGGATTACAGTGCGACTGCAATCAGTCAGCAATTATCCCAGAGCAATGCCGGTGGTGATGATGATGGTGACATCGGCGCTGGCTACTTTGCGGTGGTTGAAAATCACGGCCATCCCACGCTAGCCGTCGAGCCTGACCCTAAACCTCGTGTTAGCTACTCCTTTGGTCTCGATGAGCATCGGTCTGCAACACTGGGACGCCCTCGCAGTCGCAATGTTCATCAGGACATTACCATCCAGCGCACAGCTGCTCTCTTCAGATCCGCTAGCCAAAAGGTTAAGTCAGTGTCTGCTGTACCCAAAGCAAGGAAACCGCCGCCAGCACCAAAGCCCTACCGGACGCCAGCCACTAATAATCTGTCTGCCATCACGTCTTCGAGCGCGGAGAGCCACGCAACAGAGCCATCTTCTGCAGATGCTGTAGGTTGCACTCCGAGCAGTAGGGTGACAAGTAGCTATGTGGGCAATGTAGCTTCACCACTCTCTGCACCCGTGGCAGCCAAGAGAAGTCCTCGGCTCACGCGTCACACGTCCTCCGCCAACGATGTTCTGAAAGACTTTCTGACCACCGTCAAGCCTCCAAGTGCACCACCGCAAACACGAGCGCCGGAACGTAATGTCTCCTTCACATCCTTCCAGCCGTTTGTATCGTCATCATCAGCCCGTGTAGAGGAAGAAGGAGAGTAGTGACCCGCTGTGCGTTTCTTGCTTGTCAACGGCAGGTTGTTGCTGCTTGCTAGCTAGCTGCCTGTATGCCACACTGAGCCATGTGTTATGCTGGAGTATGTCTTGAGCCGTGGCCCAAGGTGCACTGGGAAGTATGTAATGCCGATGTCATTGAGTATGTAATGCCGATGTCATTGAGAGTGTTCCTACTCTACTACATGCAAAGTAGACGATCACAAGTAACTGTAGTTGGTGCCGTCAAGCCTATAATTATCCGCCCACAGAGGCCCCGAGCAAAGAGTGAACAGTTGCCCGTTTGCTTCTTGTGTCACCAGGTTAGCTGGGGCCCACACGCACTTGTTTGTTGTTTAGTGAGTCGTGGAATGTTTCTTTTCTCGAGCTTTGCGTGGCAGTAAGCAGTGTGTTTAGCCACTAGCCTGTTAAATGTACTAGCAGGACTGGTAAAACACTTGCTTTGTGAATCATTTGGAAAACTAGAACTGGCTCTTGACTTCTCCAAAATTCTTGCAGAGATTGTTTTGTTCCCCCTCCAGTGTCTGGAAACAGAGATTGTTTTGTTCCTCCTCCAGTGTCTGGAAACAGATATTGTTTTGTTCCCCCTCCAGTGTCTGGAAACAGAGATTGTTTTGTTCCCCCTCCAGTGTCTGGAAACAGAGATTGTTTTGTTCCCCCTCCAGTGTCTGGAAACAGAGATTGTTTTGTTCCCCCTCCAGTGTCTGGAAACAGAGATTGTTTTGTTCCCCCTCCAGTGTCTGGAAACAGAGATTGTTTTGTTCCCCCTCCAGTGCCTGGAAACAGAGATTGTTTTGTTCCCCCTCCAGTGTCTGGAAACAGAGATTGTTTTGTTCCCCCTCCAGTGTCTGGAAACCTGCTGCTAGTACAATCATGTTTTGATTACTCTCCACTTCAAGTTCCTCTTTTCTCTCTTCTGCTCTTCCTTTTGGTAAGCCGGCTGTCTGTCAATTTTTCGTGTCTGGGCAAAATGCCCTGAACCATCTTACCATTACCCTCCTGGGAACATCACTTTTTTAATCAACGGCCGGCTATGTGAACTTGCTTCAAGGCAATTATGCCAGCTGGCGGTTTGTTGTCTTTGCAGAGTTGATAATATTTACATGCATTCATTGCTCTCTTGTCTCTTGTCTAGCCACTCACTGTACATGTAGTAGTAGTAGTAGTAGAATGCTGCCGGCTGCTCTCTGACCTCCGTTTGTTGGGTTTGTGCGTGTTGATCGTGAGAATGGCTCACAATTCTCCTAAGTGTTGCTCCTTCTCTTTGTCTGTTGCTGCACTCTGGAGCTATGCGTGTGCAGTTGACAGAGTGTGTGCGCCTGGGTAGCAGCAAGAGTACATAACCCCCCAGAGTGTGCAACTCCACTATGAGTATGGGTGCTGTCCCGACAGAATCTCAAGTTGACGTCATTTTGATGATGCAATGTGCACTGTACACGGATTATCAGACGAATCCGGAACCTGTGGTTGACCGAAGCCGATCGATCCTGTACAAATTATTGCAAAGAAAAACGTGTGATGCGTTGACACCCGTACACATGTTGTAAATCACTGGTGCAAGGAGCATTGCGTCATAAATAATGACGTCAACTTGAAATTCTGTCGGGACGGCAGGGTATGTGGGAGTTGCACACTCTGGGGGGTTATGTACTCTTGGTAGCAGAGATAGCTAGAACGTAGACTGACGACATTCACTCTCAACTGTAGCCTGGTGAACTGTTTCCGTGCAGTAAAACCTGTGTAAAATGGACCACTCTGACAATGCAACCACCTGTCCCGAAGGACCAATACAATCAAAGATCAAAGGGTATCATTTGACCCAGGGGGGGGGGGGGGGGGTCAAGAGGTCGACCACCTGTCCCGAAGGATCAATACAATCAAAGATCAAAGGGTATCATTTGACCCAGGCCAGGGGTCAAGAGGACGACTACCTGTCCCGAAGGACCAATACAATCAAATATCAAAGGGTATCATTTGACCCAGGGGGGGGGGGGGGGGTCAAGAGGACGACTACCTGTCCCGAAGGACCAATACAATCAAATATCAAAGGGTATCATTTGACCCGGGGGGGGGGGGGGGGGGGGGGGGGGTCAAGAGGACGACCACCTGTGTTTAATGTTTAAGGGACCACAGTCATGTTGTGCTCGTGTTTAGCAGTCGACTTACACAGGTGTCAGTGATTTTTCCAATTCCTCTTGTGTAGCGTTTTGGACAGGCTGTGGCCAGTTTATCGGAGGGCGCCGAGGCACGTTTTTATCATACAGGTTCCATATGCAAAGCACAAGTGAAGAGTTGAGATGCAAAACACGCCAAATTTGAGAAAACGAGATTTTAAGCTCCAGTGTAATCAAAATGACATTTAGACAATTATTATGACAGTTATAGTCTAAACGCACCTTCGGGCAAAATTTCACATTAAAAAAATTACTAAAACCACTTCAAAGTAGGTGACCAAAACGAGAGAGCTTGGAAGCTCAGGGCCCTACGCTATGCTTTTTTGCCTTGATGACCCAGACAAAAAAAAGCATAGGGATGTTATGAATTCTTTAAAAAATTCCTTTTTTTTAAGCAATAACCTGGGATTCGAACCCGCACTATCGCGCGCCCTGCATGCATCCCCCGATACACTTCGCATACATACTAATTCTTCCAAGTTGCTTCACGTTATGATCTTGCATTTGAAAGGCCTATTTGAATATGCATTGTGGCCAGCCGTCTTTGATAGTACGGTACGGTACGGGATAGGTACGGGACAAGCCCTATTTGAATATTTGATTTGAATATCTCGGCCAGCTGTATGTGGCCAGCTGTGTTTGATGGTACGGTACGGGACAGATACGGGATAGCGCCAGGCGTGACACAAGCAAACAAACAAACACACAAATACCAAATTAAAGCTGTGTGGACCCTGGCTAGCGCCAGACGTTACTGAAGTAACGTCTTCTGCATAGCTACGGGAATAATAATGATTCCCATGTAGATGTAGATGCGAATCACACATAAAACGAATCCTAGTCTGGTCATTATCAAAAGGTGATGGAATGGATATGTCGCGTTTGGCATCTAAACTCTTCAAGTGTATCAGGATGTGCATCCTGATCCTTTGGAAGTAGAATGCGCTCCAGCTCGGGACTAACGTTACAACTTACAAGTACACTAAGTTCAGCATGCTTAGGTTGTTGTGTTCTTGCACGGACTGGTGTACATTCAAAAGCCTAACCGATGTAAACGTAGAAGATCCAGCCTTGCTTGAATTGAAATTTGAACTATAGCCAGTGTGTACAATGTAATTGATTTGAACTATAGCCAGTGTGTACAATGTAATTGGCGTAGTTGCTATTCATGTGCTTATATATTTGCAAACATATGGATACGTGTGTGTGTTTGTTTGTTTGTCTCCTAACAGATCGCTACGTTCGTCAGGACGTGCTGCAGCGCTCAACCAGCCTAGCCGAGGCGGAGGAGATCACAGCCAAGTGCTTTCCTGCCAGGTACGTTTCTGCTGCTCTCGGCATTTTTAATCACACTGCTACTGTTGTGTTACTCTGTGACTGTGCACGGCTTGCAGGATGGTCCCAGTGGTGATCTTAGCACTTTTACATCTAACATCTATTGTGCGGGCTTCGGCAGGACATGTCCATTACTATTTTTGTGCTGTTCAATTTTTGCAGGTCTGATTCAACGGCTGGTGACAGTGTCGCTGATGAAGCAAGTGCTTCTGCTGCTGCCCAGTCCTCTTCTAATGAGAAAGAAGAGACCAAGCCAGCCAAGTCGCTTACACCACAAGAGCAGTCAAAGAAAGCTGCCGCTCTGCCAAAGTGGTTCTCTCTAGGGAAGAAGTAGACACGGCGTTTGTAATAGCAACTAGATTTATACCTTTTTTTGGACTCTCGTTTTTAGTACTTCAACATATTTTTTATTGTTACTTTCCTTCCCGAACACATACTACTATGTAGCACACTGTCACTCTTCTGGTTGTAGGTCTAGTTGGGTGACCACCCAGCAATTCTTTTCGGTGGAAATAGTTGGCACTTTCTGCGGTCAGCATTGGCAGCCCATACACCTTGCCCTTTCCTTTCGCTGCTTCCTGCATGATAATCTCACAGCTATATTAAGTTCAGCCTTTGTCCACGAGACTCGTGATCTAACGCGGAGAAGTATGCCTTAATAAAAGACCAATGGACACATGAGATAAATTCAGCTCTCCCTGTTTGCATGCATGATCTTCACAGTTCTCCTGCATGGCCAGATGCCGAACTTTCTAACCAAGGAGTTGAACTGGTGCAGCATTCTACAAGTACCTGTCATGCATGGCGATCTCCTGTGTGATGTGATGGGGGTGAGATACACACAAAATCGTGACGACTCTTGAATGCCAGGAAAAAAAGCTATCAACAGCTAGTTGGGGACTCTGCCAAACATGTTGATAATAGAGGTCATTCTGAAATAGCATGTCAGCGCAGCTCATATGACCTGTATGGTATTGTTTATCTACGGATTCTCTAGAGGCCAAATGGGTTACTATCCTGGTGGTCTATCTAAACCCGGCAATACTGAATGATGGAAATAGAATAGGTTGTCCCTGAGCTATAACTACCAGCATACCAAGAGAACAGAACACTTGAGGGGAGTCTTGTGCTCTGGGTGGTGTGTGCGTGGGGGGAGGGGTGATGCCAATCACAATCATTTAAAACAAATTGAAAATATGGAATAAGTTTTGACGGAGAGTGGTGCATGCTGAGACTCCACGGCATACACACATGTCATGGACAAGAAGCCCTACCACAATTTTTTAGTTATTTTGTTATCACAGTGCACATACCTATGGCTATGGCCAGGCTGCAGGCCAGGGACAACATTATAATTATTAATTTTTTATAACAAAGGTACAACAATGGTGTGAACCAGGGAGTTGAATAGGTCTGTCTCTAGGCCCTCATATCATGCATGGTTGTGTGAATAGCCAAAAAATTCGAGTTGACAAAATCGCGGCCGTCATCCGTCAGAGACCGCGTTTTACGAGTTTCAGCGCGTTGCTCCACACGTACACATACCGTAATCATTACGTCACAATGTCGTCACCTCAGCTTGTTGGGAAAATCAAAATATTTGAACGTGCAGCTTCTTCATTGTTGTTCGACATTCGAAATGGCAAGCCAAGAAGAAGCTGACATTTCTCTGCCTCTTGACGGCCTGGAGGGCGATATTACCGTTCCTCAGCCCAGCAAGAAAGCAGAGGATAGCGGCACACTCGACGAGCCAGTATGGACCACACTGGTAAGACTCGTGGCGAGTGCTGGCTCACCCTTTTCCACTTCCAAGTACTTGTTTATTTGCTCGATTCTTCATGAGGTTTTTGTCTTCTTTTGTATAATACGTGCTTTGCAGAAGCGAGATGTGACTGCGGTCGGCTACAAATTTACACATGTCCTCTTTCCTCGGCGGAGTAAACAGCTACTGTACGACTGTAAGTCTGAGAGCAACATGTCTCGGAAAGTTGTGTGATACACAGGATATCTCTATCTTTCACTTGCATGTTTGTCAAGAATTCCGTACTATGCCCCTTTGGTCTTCATGTAAGGCTGTATGAGTGTCTTGTTAGTACATGTGCAGTACGTGTACCTATCAGCCTCTAGTTATCTCCTGTATCTGAGTGCAGGTTTGTTTCAGTGTTGTGACTTTGTGAGCCATGGATACTACATAGTATGCAGTCTGAAAATATCACATTTCACCCCCCCCCCCTCCCCTCCCCTCCCCTCCCCTCTGTGCTGGTAATGTTTGGGTATGGTTGTTTGTTGTTGCTGGTGTTGCCATTATAATGGTCATTGTTGTTGTTGCATGCATACTTGGTAGGTGCCACCGTAGCCGGCATTGCGATCCCTATTTCCTGCAGGCTTGTTCATGGAGGACATGAGTTAGGGCGCGTTCAGACTACCGATAAAAAGTGACCGATTGGGAAAGTCGCCAAGGTGATTTGATCACGTGACATTACTGGCACGTTACCGGTGGGAGAGTTTTACTGCCGCGGCTGCTGCGGCAGTAAACTTTTACCGGCAGTAAAAAAAGTGCTCAGGCTGCATGCGCGCTGGGAAAAAAGGGAAAATCCCTTGTCAGTGCCGCGTGAGAGCTGAAAACTTAACGGTAACGTTAGTTTGTTATCGGTAGTGTGAATGTCCTTCACGGTGTATCGGCATTCACGGTTTGACGGGGTTCACGGTAGTCTGAACGCGCCCTTAGTAGAGTACCGGTAGTTTAGTACTGTACTCTACTGTAATGATTCATTCCTAGGCAACTGACCTACACTCAAATACAGTCTACTTCGCTTATAACGACACGCGGCGGGGCATCAGAAAAGGGTCCTTATTCGCGAAGTGTCGTTATACCCGAAGTCTCATTATATGTGTTACAGTTGGATGGGACTTTGCTCTGGGCATGGAAATTCTGTCGTTATTCGCGAATTGTCGTTATATCCGCAGTCGTTATTAGCCAAGTTGACTGTAATCACTGCAGTTCACACAACATCAAATAAGCTGTAGTTGTAGTTGTTGGCAAGTTGCCTATGAATGAATTAGGGCTGAGTCGGGTAGCATTTTCTTCGGTTATCGGGTTCGGGCAGTTTTCCACGGGTAGCACGGGTACCCGGCCGGGTAATGTTTCCATGATAACACCACAATGCACCCCTTCCCGTACACACTGGGTAGACATGCGAAGTATTACATGAATTTGTACACGTGCACTGTTCACGATGTCATCTGCGACTTCGGGTTTTCGGGTACTATTCTGTACCCTTCTACCCGAGGTCCTCGCGAATAGCACGGGTACCCGACTATCCGTGCACACCACTAGAATGAATCATGTAAAATGAAGCTGCGTGAGGAGGCGCCGCTCAGAATTTTGAAGCTGTACTGTAATGCTATGTAACTTCTGGATATTCACCGGGTAACCATGGTAACTCTAAGCATGTGGTGACTGCATACCAGTGTGGTATTGTGCTGATTCTTGTTGCATTGTCTTCTCTTTGTGTTCCTCTTCTTGTCGTTGTGCAGGGGATCTTTGGGGTCCACTATGTCTGTGTATTGTAATGGCCATGTAAGTACTGATAAAGCAGGTGATCAGCGCTACAACTGTTTTTTTTTACTACTGCTAGTACATGTACAGCTAGTATGCTAGTACATGTCATTGTTGGTCTGGTGTGTACAGCTAGTATGCCAGTATATGTCATTGTTGGTCTGGTGTGTACAGCTAGTATGCCAGTATATGTCATGGTTGGTCTGGTATGTACAGCTAGTATGCTAGTACATGTCATTGTTGGTGTGGTGTGTACAGCTAGTATGCTAGTACATGTCATTGTTGGTCTGGTGTGTACAGCTAGTATGCCAGTATATGTCATTGTTGGTCTGGTGTGTACAGCTAGTATGCCAGTATATGTCATGGTTGGTCTGGTGTGTACAGCTAGTATGCCAGTATATGTCATGGTTGGTCTGGTGTGTACAGCTAGTATGCTAGTACATGTCATTGTTGGTCTGGTGTGTACAGCTGGTATGCTAGTACATGTCATTGTTGGTGTGGTGTGTACAGCTAGTATGCTAGTACATGTCATTGTTGGTGTGGGCAGATCATTATGACTGAGTACACAAGTGACTTTTTCAGTTTGCTTGTTACAATTACAAATGTGCAGTCGACCACTGTCAAGATTCAGGGAAGGTAATGCATGCAGCAGGCATGGTCACTCTAGCACCCTGTGAACCTGTATGATGTCACTCTAGCACCCTGTGAACCTGTGTGATACTGCTGCTGCTTGGGCTTCTAGTTCTAGCCCATTTGGCCAGACTTGCTTGAATAGCAAAGGCGTTGCAGCCCGGAGGTCAGTAGCTTGATTTGCATGCACCGACATTGTGCTCTGTACTACTGTAGCAATGTTGGTGGCGGTCCATGCCTTTGCGGTGCTGTTGCACTATGCTCCTGTTGTGATGTGGGATATCTTGTATGCTATGTGTGTGTGTGTATGTGTGTGTGTGTTTGTGTGTGTGTGTGTGTGTGTGTGTGTGTGTGTGTGTGTGTGTGTGTGTGTGTGTGTGTGTGTGTGCATTCTGTTGGTTCCCGTATGCCACCTGCATCTCTGCTCCTTGTCTGATGGCATCCAGTCTTCTTCATGGTGGGAAAGTGGATGAGGTGACCAAAGAGTCGCACAACCCGCAGTTTGTGGAGGTGTTTGTCATCGTGTGGGCTGGCTCCTTCATCGTGGCATTGAATTCAAAGCTGCTTGGTGGAACCCTGTAAGTGGAGCATAGCTGTGTGTGTTTTTCGCCCGCGTGTGTGTGTGTGTGTGCGCGCACATGTGTGTGTGTGTGTGTGTGTGTGTGTGTGTGTGTGTGTGTAATGTGTGTGTGTAATGTGTGTGTATATGTGTGTGTGTGTGTGTGTGTGTGCGCGCGCATATGTGTGGGTATGTACGTGGGTGCGTGCTTGTGCGCATGTGTTTAGTGGGTGGATACTGATCACCTGAGTCTTCCTTCACTTTCTCATTCTTCTACCTCTTCTGTCACTCTGTGTGTCTATGTATCAGTCTCACCATCTACAGTCCATTCATTAACAAATGAGCGCTGGCTCTGGCGAGCTCCCGTATTTGGTGATTTTCGTGATTTTATCGTACACGATGCAGTGCCGCGAAATTTGAAACTTGAGAAAGGGTCCGAAAAGGTACCTCAACTGTGTGTGCGCGTGTGTGTGTGTGTGCCATGCTTTCCTGCAGGTCATTTTTCCAGAGTCTCTGTGCACTTGGCTACTGCCTACTTCCTCTTGTCATTTCCTTGCTGATGTGTGAGATTCTGGACTTCATGACTGTAACCGCTATGAGAACGTTCTTCTTTTTCATCAAGCTGGTGGTTGTTGTTGCTGGTTTGGTCTGGGCTATTGTCGGTAAGGCGACGTGTGTGTGTGTGTGTGGGTGGGTGGGTGTCTGCACGTGTGTGTATTTGTGCACGTGTGTGTATTTGTGCACGTGTGTGTATCTGTGCACGTGTGTGTATCTGTGCACGTGTGTGTTCATGTGTGTGTTCATTTATCGTATTGGAATTAGTGCAAGGTAAACATGTTGCTCAGTTGTGATCCAAGCTAGCCTCGTCTCTCACTCGACAATGCCATGGTAAGGTAAATACTGTAATTTCACTAATTTTCGGTATACAGGTGGAATCCTGATAATTCGAATATGGCTTAATTCGAACATCCCGCTTAATTAGAAGTTTTTCCAGGACCGATTTCTGTCAATACGATTCCCACATAATTTTTTCTGAAAATTCGAACCTCGAACCAGACATGTCCGGTTAATTCGAAGTTCAACACGGATTCCACTTGAAAATGTGTGGGATTTGTGCTGATAATTCGAAGTTAACAAAGTGTAATTCGAAGTTCACTGTACACTGTTTTGGTCAGTTCAGTATCCGTGAAATCTGTGTCTAAGGTCCATAGCGCAACTCTGCGTGACCATGAGAGCATGATATACATATTGTGTTGTGGGTTCATGTTTGGATAATTAGAATGTCCGGCTAGTTAGAAGTTTTTTCCTGGCATTTCGAGGTTCGAATTATCAGGATTCCACCTGTACTTTTATTTTCGGTACTTTCGGTGCATCTGTTTCATACCTAAAATTTCAATACACCGAACAAACACTAACACACACATAATCCAATAGGGAACTGCTTCTCTGCATCGAAAACTTCTGTTCACCTAACCTGGCCTTTTGTCCTCATACCGAAAATATTGAGCACCGGAAATTTCTGAAATTAGAGTATTAAATATAAATACATGCTGATGTCAGCAGGGCTTAGCTCTTTTCCCTGCCCGAAAGAAGCCCTCAATCAAGCTGACATCAAGCTGACCTGTATGTTACTTAGTTTCTAGTGTTGATGTACATCATCTATCTCCTTTCGTCAGCTGCGGCATACTAACCTCTCCCGTTTACCTTTGCGCATGCCCTGTGTGTGCATGTGTGTACGTGTGTTTGTGCGTGTGCTCGCATATATGTGTGTCTGTTTACACGGGGTGCATGTGTGTGTGAATGTTACGTACGCTTCATATCGCTCCTGTGCTCTGCAGCTGCATTTGCTTTCATCTCAGACAGTCAGCCTGCTCGCCGGAAAGGCCTCGCTCTCTACCCCGTTTTTCTCTTCTACTTTGGAATCAGCGTCTTGATCTTGATGAGACAGCCATCCGATTAGCCAGCCCGAATGCCACACACCCCCTCTCATATTACTGCTTCTAGGTTTGCCACGCAATAATTGTAAACATGTCATGTTTTCATTTTCGTTTTGTACGAATGTGACACTTGAGAAGCTCATGGATCAGAAATCATTATTGACATTTTTTACTGAAAATATATACAGTCACGCAACTAGGAAGTTGATGTTCACTACTATACACGCCTACACACTACAGATTGAGAGTAGGTAAGAAATATGATAAAAGCTGTATGAATTTTGTGTCAAGTTGGAGGATTTGAATCTGCTACCCATGCCAGCTAAACAGTAAACAGCGTAACTAAAGGTAAAAACTAGGCAGAGCTATTACGCAGAAGCAAGCAAGTAACATCCTGACAAGAAGGTTGTTGTTGTTGTTGGTTTACTCAGCGAAAGATGTTGGTGTCACTTGGTGTGCTTGGCACAGATTCTCCTGTGAACAGTTGTCGAAGGATCAGCAGAGCTGTGTCTTCATTTGACCTACACAGTGAAAGCAGAGAAAAAGAAGTAGTGTGAATGCAAGAAAACACTTCCGCTTCCTACACCTAGCCGGTAGACTAGAAATTTCCCCAGGGAATTAGGACACACACACACCACACACACGAGCGCGTACATGGACGCGTATGAATTAGAGCTAGAAAATCCCGAAATCACACACAGCGCACATTATGCTTCAGTACGACCACGGAAGTGCCTACTCAGTGTATGGTGTAAGAGAGCAGATACGTCTGTGTTCGCACTGAAGCACGAGAAGCCAGGGGTCGGATTAAACGTGCTACCACCGTCCACCATTACCCCTCACTCACACAGCGCAGAGCTCACAGCATAGAGCACACAGCCTTACCAGTATGAGGAATGACTCTGTATGGAGAACATGTACTCGTTGAAACTTTCAAACGGCCTCTCTTGCAGCACGTAGTCCATGCGCTCGCCATTGTTCAGTATGCCGATGGGCGGTACTGCACACACGAAGTAGGACATAATAAATATTACTAGCATCATAGGTTCTACTAGTATGTGTTACCGTATCATAATCCTATGGGTAATACCGGTAATAGGGCATAGTGCAGTGACAGGCAGTCTACAGAATATGGATCATGAACTGAAGTTGAAAGATCCCCCCCATACAGCTGGGATCAACAGCATACTGTGCTACTCGGGACCGGTGTGCATCAACACTAGTTACACTACTAAGTCATACATCTATGCCAAGTTCAGACTCGTGCAAGCACGTTGCACGCAACACAGCCTCACACACACACACACACACACACACACACACACACACACACACACACACACACACACACACACACACCGGTACTCACCGTTTAGAAGCTGGAATTGGTCATCAACGGTCGGGGATGGCAGTTCCTGCTTGCTGAGCTCCTCTTCCACCTGGCGCCGCTCGCGTTCCAGCTCTGCCATGTCCTCAGCTGCTGACTGCTGAATCTCAGCACCTGATTACAAAGACGGGGAGAACAGAACCTCAACAGATGATCTACGTACAGGCAATAGCATGATTGTGTACCATGGGTTGAGAGGACAGATGTGCAGGTATTACAGGTTGCAAAAGAAAGTTAATCATGTTCGGAAATCATTCTGTGAACTAAATGTGAATAAATTCTTTTCGAAATGCAGTTGTGGTGGAAAATGGGTCTTATACATGACCATGAAAATATGTATGAGCAATGGTTGCAATGATATAATGATGTTCAGCTTTTTTGTACAGGGGTATTTTTAAGTACCTGCGCGATGACTCGCTGCAAACTCCTGCACAGCTTGCCAGGTCTGGCGCAGACTCTCCATGAAGTTTTTCTTCAGCTGAGCGCCAACGCGACCGAGATTCTCACGCAACTCTGCAACAGTCGACAAAAGAAACAAACACACACACACACCGACGGTACACAGCATGATTTACAGCCTGTGCTAGCTCTGCAACAGCTGGCAACAGTCCGGTTTGTGTACAAGTCATGTAAGACTGTAGTGGGAGCTAGGCTTATGACTAGCACCACGCATGATATACTGTAGCTGTATAGCTACTCAATCTGCGCTATATTTTAATGCATTGTGTGCAGTAATGGTGGATGGAACTAGTTTAGCACAGGGCTCTAAGCCGGGCAAAGGAGATATTACTAGGCACGAGCATAACATACACATACGCGTACACACACACACACACACATGCACACACACACACACACAAACACTACACACAAACACACATGCATGCACACACCCACACCACACATACACACACACACACACACACACACTGTCAGCTTACCGAGATGCATTCGCTTGCGTCCCTTGTGATGAGGCACCTGTACTGGTGGGAACTGCAAGGCTGCGTCCACTAAGGGCTCTACACGATATGCCTAACATACAACACACAGCACAGGCAGCAAGGCAAGAATAAATCAACATTCCCCCCAGCAAAAGCAAAGTCGAGACAAGAATTGTGTGTTCAACAGAATGATGCTGGCAGTACTGTATAACAAACTGTTCAAGTTTAACCTGAAGCTAGACGTCAGGGGCCGAAAGGTTAAGGCACAACTTAGAACTAGGAGGCCACCGTCTCGCTGCAAATGCAGCATACACTGAAGTGCTTTGTTACATGTAACCAACATGTACGTAGGTTTAGGTGCCTGGTCTCTCTATCGAAATCGCAGAATTATAAATTGCAAGGATAAATGTTGTACAGCAAACATACAAGAACATGATTGTACTGATGATGGAGAGCCAGCACACTGTGTAAACCAATGGACGTCAGGTTCCAACTTTCCAGCTCGCAATCGGGTGATCACTGCCATTAGTTTTACTGCATTGCACTCATAATCCCCCAATATACTCACACATGCATACAGGCGTGCACATATACAGGTAGACAGACAGACAGACACATGCACACAGATAGACACACAGATAGACACACACACGGATAAACACACAGACACACACAGAGACACACACAGACACACGCACACGCACACACACATGCACACACACACATGCACACATACACACATACACACAACACACTTACCATAGGATCATACTGTCCACGGTTGTTCAGCACAGTGTGCCACCACAGCATGCCAGTCACAGTCATATTCAGGTGAATAAAGCACAAATCAAGACAGTCCGGTCAGTACGAAGAATCGACCAAATGCACAGAAAATCCACAATAGGAAAACACAATAAAACTGATGCCAACGCCTTCCATCTAATCAGACGAGATCCCTCACTACAAAACAACCATTAGCAGAACAGAATAAAGAATTCAATTAAAACCAGTTGAAACCACCCATAGCCATAGTACTTCCAGCAGTTGACAGCAACACCAAACACATCTACAGCAGTGGCCAAAGAAATCCGACTCGTGAGCTGAAAGCAGCGCCAAGGCTCATCACGGCCCCTGCGGCCCTCGGATGGGTTTTGGACTGTGCACGATATAAATGAAATGGAAACACAGCGCTGCTGGTGACTAGAGCGGGTCGGATTGTTTTTGGCCACGACTGTAGTATCTACTGTTGCAAGCACATACTCACCGGGTGGAATATGTTGAAGAAGGTTGGGCAAGTTGGAAGATGAAACGAGGGGCCTAGCTTGATCCCCCTGGACAGTGTCACAGCGAGCACGCAGAGCAAAGAAAACGTAGCAAACTATCGAGGCAACCACACTAAGACATCACATGGACCGTGCAACAATTTTAGCTCTTGTAATTACATGAAGAGAGGAAAGGGATATCGGTGTGTCATGTCTGGCTACATACGCACATATACACAGGGAGAGGGTGATAGCGAGTGAGTGAGCGAGAGAATGAGAGAGAGAGAGAGAGAGAGAGAGAGAGAGAGAGAGAGAGAGAGAATGTATCAGTGAGAGAGAAAGACAGATAGATAGACAGAGAGAGAAGAGAGAGAAATGAAGCTTACCGCAATGAGCAGAACATGGCTATTGGTGAGCCCACAGCAAAGAAAGAGCGCAGCAGAAACGACAGCTGTGGGTAGTCGACAAACACATTCCCCACGCCGGGACCAGATGAACGATACGTGAAAGGTCTCAAACCCGCTGCTTGCTGTTCGGCTTCGCGTTGCGCATCAGCGGCAGCCTGCTCAGTACGCACTCGCTCTGCCTCACGGCGTGCCGCTTCAGCTATTGTCTTGCGCGACTGGACATCCAGCAAGTGACGCTGATATGCCTGAAAACAGACACCGTAAACAGGACAAAACAAGAAAATCATATAGATGGTGTTGCCATTCGCCGCTGAGATGGTGTAGATGATGTTGCTGTGTAAAAGTACTTCGAAGTACATGTAATGGTCTAGACCCATTCTCTCCTAAAAGTCATGATGGTCTCCCCTTGATCACTTCAAATACTACTTCAGAACAGTTGATGTCATTGCTACTGAGCAATTCCAGGTGACTGTGAGAGAGAGGAGGTGGACAGTCTGAGCGGAGGGAAGGGAGAAGGAAGAGAAGGGGAACAGTAGAAATGTGGAGCTGCAAGACACAAGCGAAGTCAGCCATAACACTTACCTCTTCAGCCTGGATGTGCTCACGCAAGAAAGTCATGAGCTTCTTGCGCGGTCCCATAGGAATTCCAATCTCTTTCAGGTCATCACCGGCCAGCTGTTTCTGCAATGATTGAAAATACCCATGTACACACAGATCTACATAACTATCATGTCCAGAGAATCAAGAGCCATGCCTTGAAAGTTAAAATGACAACTGACAATCCTGTACCTGTGAAAGAGTGTAATGTTCATGATGGCACTGCTGACAGTGACTGACCTAACCCATGCCCCCACCATGCTGGATGTCATATCTAAACAACCTGCACCATTCCACAATTACTAAATTAGTCCAGTACACTACCATTACACAGTGCATATCACCAAGATAAGAACTTCACCAATACGCACACACACACACACACACACACACACACACACACACACACACACACACACACACACACACTACACTGTTAGCGAGTGTCGAGTACAACAATAACGAGTAAATGACCAGTAATCGGCATAAACTGTTTCTCCCCTGCTGTATTAAAAGACTACTATGCAGTGGTGGCAAGTTTGCCTGATGTTGCATTTCCCTTGCCACTACTGCAGTAAGCCACCACAGGCATACTCACAATACCAGGGTCGCGAGGGTGGGGGGGGGGGGGGGGGACACCAGAATCTGGAGCAACACTCACACCAAGTGCTGATCTGCCCTATTGCCTGGTATGGTCCCAAGACTCCCAACCGTTCGAGATAGTGAGATTCTACAGGCGCACAGGAGAGCACAGCGCACTTACAAAGCTTTCGATGTCGATCATTTCGGCGGCAAACTTCTCAGCAAAGCTCTGCAAGCCGAATTTGCTCAGCACCTCATCAATAGTGAGCGCTGGTGGCTTTTGAACCTCTCCTCTCTCGGCGCCGTCTTGCTGGTCTTCATCCTCTTCACCAATGCTGGCACCTCCTGCATGAAGTGAGGTACGCGACGAGTGCATGGAGGGTCTGTTGGAGAAGAAGACAACACCATCACACCACACGGCCATAGAACTCTCATGTGAAAAAGGAAAGAAAAAAAAAGACAAGAAAGGTGATCCCTTGTATTGTTTTCTATTATGTTTTGCAACATGTATGCACAAATGAGGCAGGGTGCCCGCTGAAAAAAGAAGAAAAAAAGAAAAAGACTAGCAGAGGATGGTTTCGATCCATCGACCTCTGGGTTATGGGCCCAGCACGCTTCCGCTGCGCCACTCTGCTGCATGTCTCATAAAAATGCAAATGAAGACCTTACTAGGTCAGCACGAAGCTGCAAACAGTGATTGCATGCAGGCATCAGCGCACAGCGCTTCCTGTTCCTGTTATCAATGAAATTAAAGGCAGCCAGCCTGAATATGCATGGACGGTGCTAACCAGAAGCCTCCCAATGCACACTATTTACAAAATACATTGGCACCGTATGAGTACTAGCAGTCACCATCGCTAGTCTTTTTCAGAGCTCCATTCACCAGAACTGACAAGTCGATTGAAGTCACGAATTTCTTGTTTCTGTAGGAATACTTGAACATAGTTCGGCTCCATGGCAGTAATACCAGGGGGTTCACATTCTTCTAACATTACAAATGCAAGGTCACACAAATTGGTGGTCTTTTTCGAAACATTGTCCATAGTTCGTCCTCCAGGTCAACAGGCCGCATTGTACTGCAGAGCAGTGAGGGATTGTTTCAAACAGATAAGCACCGTATCCCACGATGAACACAGTTAGGTCCGGTGAAATAAGAGCTATCAGCACATGAGCAAGCTAGCCAAGAACGGAGCATACATGGGGACAGGGTGCGGACTGCGGATTTATTCATCCATTCACTCATTTCACCTTGGCATGGCCCGGAGGCCATACCATTCACTGGGTAGGTAAGACTTGATGGAGGATGACAGTGAACGGCACTAAAGCAACACATTACGACGTGAACACAAACATACCGAGCAGACGAGGCCGGCGACATCATGCGTAGCTTGGGATCTGCGGAGCCCTAATATTATAGAGCACAGAAACGAGTGAGAAGCGGAAAGAGAGGAACACAGACCGGGAGACAGTTACTAACAGCAAACCAAACCCGAAGTGTATATATACAAGTGAGGATGGAAGGCCAGTGACAAGAATCACTACAATCATACCGGTAGCATACATACAACATGGGTACGAGGGACACACTTACCTGATGTGATAGCAGATCAAAGAGGATACACGCACCTGTAGAACAAGATACAACATAGAGATAGAGAAAGACAGACATTGAGATAGAGGATAGAGATATGCCGCCTGATCAGAGTTTTCAGACACGAAACTCCGAGTAACGGCAAGGCAGGACCTGGTCGCATTGTTGCTGTTTGTGAACTGTAGAGATAGAGATAGATAGACGTTGAGCTAGAGATAGAAATAGCGATAGATAGACATTAAGATAGAGTAGAGATAGACAGACATTGAGGCAGAGATAGAGATGGCAAACACATTCCAAGAACCATGATCTTCGATCAGCCCCACAGCAGAGCCGGTCACATCTTGAGGACTCGCAGCAGGATAAATCCAGTTTACATAAGGGGAAGCACCGGCATAACACCAGACCAAAACAGTCGACCATGAAGCCATAGTGACATGCAAGTATTGCCCAAGCATTGTCCTATCCTAACATACTCACCTAAACTGTGACCTACAACAGAAACATCACCGGTAAAGCCAGCATTGCGACCTTGGAACAGCTCAAGCACACGTTCCATTTCATTTGCAACAGAGCTGAGGATAGACTGCAGGGACACAAACACAGCAATGCACACCTTGTTTATCACGGGCAGGGGCTTCTAGTTAACTCAGAAGGGAACTAGCAACTACCAGCCAGTTAATTAAAAGGGAAAAAAGATGAGCTATGGGCTAATATGCAGAAAAATACTGGGACCCCAAAATCTGATCCCCACGCTCAGGTGCTCCCCATATACAGGGTCAAATGGTTGGAAATGACAGGCTGCCTTGACAGGTTTGCTGTACCTACACCCTGCTCTTCTACACCCTGCTCTTCTACACCCTGCTCTTCTACACCCTGCTCTTCTACACCCTGCTCTTCTACATCCGAACAAATACTAGTACACAGTACACTACACACACACACACACATACACACACACACACACACACGCACAGACACACACGCACAGACACACACGCACAGACACACACACGCACAGACACACACACGCACAGACACACACACACTCACAAACACACACGCACAGACACACACACGCACAGACACACACACGCACACACATGCACACACACACACACACGCACATACACACACACCACACACACGCACAGACACACACACGCACAGACACACACACGCACAGACACACACACGCACAGACACACACACGCACAGACACACACGCACAGACACACACACGCACAGACACACACGCGCACACACACGCACACACACACACGCACATACACACACACACACGCACAGACACACACACGCACAGACACACACACACACACGCACATACACACACACGCACAGACACACACACGCACAGACACACACACGCACAGACACACACGCACAGACACACACACACGCACAGACACACACACGCAGACGCACAGACACACACACACAGACACACACACACACACAGACACACACACGAACAGACACACACACACGCACACACACACACGCACACACACACACGCACACACCACACACAGACAGGCACACACACACCACACACGCACAGACACACACACACACACACACACATATACACACACACAACCGTACCTGACAATACGCAGGACTGGAGTAGAACATAATATCCATGAACGCAGAGTTGCTGTAGCTACGAAGTCGACCGCAATTAGGCAAGCTAGTGCTTTCCAATTCCCTGGTAACAGATACGTAAAAAAGCCCCAAACAAAACAACATAACAAAAAAGTACACAAAGACCAAACAGAACGATTTGAACAAGCTGCACGCCAGCGAGAGTTCTGGTGAATCGCAAAGCCACGTTCAAAAACACAAAACACAAACAGAAATTGTAAAGACAAGTAAAAAGAGCTCCATCTCTGTTGATGTCAGAGGTGAAAATACAAACTCGTACAGTGTGTATAATCACTATACATGTACAGTGGTCCCTCTCTAATCCGGCACCATTTGTGCCACGGAAAATCTGCTGGATTAGGGAGGGTACTGCCACAATGTGCATGAAGAGGACATTTCGGCTACTGAAAATTGTGCTGGTCTATCAAGGGTGCTGGTTTATAAAGTGCTGGATTAGAGAGGGACGACTGTAATGTACTCGTGCGAATACGGAAAAAAAGAATTATGGGCAGACTCAATCATTCACCGTTTATATTACACGTTATTTCAACACAAACAGATCAATCTAGGAAGTCTCTGACAGCAAAGAATTAACAATGGAGATCCTTAGCAAAAGTACGATAACGCTAACTTTTACGGTTCTCACTCCCAGCCGTGACAAAAGACGTTATCGGGTAACGGAAAAACGTTACAGAGCTCAAAATAACGGGCCGACGTTGGTTATGGTAATTCAGCAAAAAATGCAAAAACTCGCGTTGTTTTGTATAAACTGGCGGGAGATAAAAAGCACGTGCAGATCGAGATCAGAGTCAAGCTTGCTTCGGAAGTTCCTCTTGTGACATTTAGCTTTTTTGGCGAGTTTTGCCTTTCAGTTGACAATGTCTGCATCCTCTGCTTCGTGCCTTTCACCCTCTATCCCATCTACGAAACAAAGGACCGGTTCTGCGGCACTCCTGAGGAAGAAATTCATCGGCCTCTCCCAGACGTGCTGGAGCTGGAGAACTCTTACAGTCTTCGGTGCTGCGTATAGGAAAGGTTTTCCAAAGACCTGGGAACATCGAAAACTCATTTTCGCCGTGCCTTTGCCATTCCAGAGTGAAAGACCTCGCCAAGGTATTCGTTCGAAACGACAGCAAACTTATCCCTGGTTCAAAATTTTGAATTTCCCGCACTTGTTTCCACGAAAATTCATATCGCCATGGTTGTCACGACTACTTCGTCTGAACTATAACGTACATTGTGCTAAGGGAAAAGTCAGCTTGAACGATCCGAAGTACGGAAAGGTTTGCGTTTACGTTAACGTTTTTTTAGCTAAGGATATCTAATGAGATGAACACGAAAGCAATGCATAGAAGATTTCTCAGCTCCCCAAAGACGATTCACTTACTTCACGACCGCAATGTCATCGCCACGCAAGCTGCTGCTCCACTGTACTGGCAGGAACTCCACACGCTTACCGGCGCGCAGTGGGAAGTGCTCGTGCAGCATGCACTGCGTCGACTGACGGAAGTCATCCACTGCAGCAAACACCAGCAGAAACACAAATACTGCAGAGATCGTTTGCAATTCAAAATGCACAGTGATGGTACCATCGGGGGGATTCAGTGTTCTATAATAGCAGGGGGGACAGACTACCAGGTGATGCCTGGACTAAGCCACAAGGGAGGCTAGGAAAGCATAGAATGAACAGCTCCGCTCAAAAGGACACCTCATGACCCACAACCTCTCTCAGACAACAGCTCTGTCAGACGGCAACAGGCAGGACACAATGCACATCATCTGGTCTCAAGGGTTACTGAACGCTAGCCAGCACATCAACCTAGGTAGACTGATTGACTGTACTGCAGAAGTGACAGATTCAGCAGTGCTCATCACACTGGCGACTATCACACCAGCACTGCAAACTTGACACACCAGTGCATAAGCTGTCAGCAAGATCATGTACTACAACGAGGGAATGGTGATAGATGCCTCCACATTGGGAAAGGAGATAAAACATGAAGATATCAGCTAGGTGTGAACACTGTGGATGACCAGCATGTTGACAACACATCATAGATACATGTACTATTGGTGTGACAGCCATGTCACCTGGAAAGGTACAAAGGTATCACATACGCATCAGTGTTAATTTGATGCACAGATCATATCAACCTTTGCTCCTTTCTGGACCATGATGCCTCTCCAACAAACCAACAAACTGTCTCCTTACACAATGGGTTTGGGTGTTGTTGGAGTTAACACATTCACACTTTCACAGCACATGCTGTTCCACAAAGCAATGCAGAAACAGGAAGTGGGGACTACACACTACACTACACACACTATACACTGCACACGCTACACACCACACACACCACACACACTACACACAGTACACACACTACACACACTACACACACCACACACACCACACACACTACACACACTACACACACTACACACAGTACACACAGTACACACAATACACACAGTACACACAATACACATAATACATGCTGTACAGCACATACAGTTATAGGTGCAGAGAGACATACAAGTCCAGTGGAAGACCAAACTCTACACACAGACACCCAAGGGACCAGACACATCTGTACTGAATAGAGATGCGTACTGACTACAGAAGGTATTGCAACCTAACCAGGCGCGTGCCCCGTATGGGTTCCTGGGTGCCCGGAACCCCCCTTTTTTCGCTCAAAATGCAGGATTTGCTTCATTTTTTGAAATTTTTTCTCGGGGGACGCCCCGGAAACCCCCCTTGAAGGGCACCGGCGCACGCGCCTGCTAACTGGGAACAACCATGACCATACAACAGTGTCCTGAATATAAAGGTACAGTCAGACTTCGATTAACCGCACACATCCGTTTTCCACAAAAAATGTCCGGATAGGCGAGGGAACTGGATAACCGAACACCGGTTATGTTGGATTCAACACGTGTGCTGTAAATCTGTAACCAGCTATTTTCTTCCGGATGACGAGGGATCCGGATAAAAGAGGGCTGGACAAGCGAGGTCTGACTGATCCTGTGTTGAGAGGTGTCCTGTATTGACAGGCATCCGCTAAGGGAAACCTACTGTACATTCATACCCACAATGCACACATCCACAATATAATTACATTCGATGTCGATCACAGGCACAAACGCCACATAAACTTACCGATTACACCGATTACTTTTGCTTTGGGGTTCAATATCCTTAGTTTTACTGCAGACTTTCGTGTAAGAAAAATCCAGGGGAGTGAACAATCACTCTGGCTATCCTCTCAAGGAGAGTGGTGGGAGAGCAGTCCCCAGCACCCCCCCCCCCCCCCCCCCCCCAAATCGCTCACCTCATCTACCCAAGGCGAGCACAAATCACAATACGGGTTTTTCAACATCTTGCCATACCCCAATCGAATTCAATATCCAATAGGTGCCAAATTCATTCCGGAAAATTGACGTACGCCCTACAAAGGGAAGCTGTTCGGACCACAACTTCAGTTTCCCTTCATCAATTTTGCAATGAATCTCAGGCATTCTGGAAAGCTATTGGCAAGAGGAACACACCAGTGGGATTTTCACCAGCTGGAGTGCTACTGCAGTGGCACTATAGGGGAGTATAGCCCTGGGAAGACACGCGCAACGGGAAATTGAGACAATTCGCTAAGATCCATGGTATTTTTGTAGTATTCATGGTAGAGCGCTCCTTTCTTTTGTAGCTGACCGCTAAAGACCTTTGCCTGACGTCACACAGGTCTATGCATGCCCGGACTGTCGACATGATTGTCACGCAACAGCGGGAAATCCTTTATGTCAAAATAATAATGATTGCCACCCAAGTGCGATAGTGAGAATTTGCAACGGGACGTAAAATACCTTACGAGTGCCGTAACTCCACTATTTGACCTAGGATCGACTTCCGATTTGTTGGAGCCGACAGCTGAGAACTTTCTAATGCGAATAGACCTTTCGATTACTCAATTCCGTTCAGGGAAAGCCGAGTTCCGAAATATTTGAGTGTTTGCAGAATGCACTTCATAGTGATGCGGATACGCGCTCGAAATTCTCAAGGTGCGCGCCGAAAAGTGCGCCCAAAATGAAAATAAGGAGAGCGAAGGCGTGCGAGAGCAATCGCTCCCCTTTTACCAGATGGGGTACTGGATTTGCATGTTTTCATTCTTTATTGTTACCAATTTCTGTATTGCACTTCCATTCATTGTGTTTTATTTTGCCCGTAAAAGAGACTTTCAGACAAACTCACCGTGAGCAACAATATCACGACGATCACCGGCCGCAATGCCGTTGACTACGAAGACTAGGTGACCGACGTCCAGGGATTCGCCGTCCTCCAGCTCATCCGTCTCATCCAGACCGCGCTGCACAACACGCGGCCGCTGCTCCACGACGCCGGCTAACTGCTGCACGCTGGGCTGGGCTGGCGGTGCGGCGTAGTCCACCACAAGCTCTGCATTGTGCATCACCACGCGCTGTCCGCCGGGCAGGTCAATCTTACGCTGCCACACGTTATACTTGATGCCTTGCTGATATTCACTCTGCAACCACACACACGCACACACACACACACACGCACACACACACACACACACACACACACACATTTATACAAGTACACAAATATACAGCGGTGTGAGGTGAAATTTAGCCGCCTGTACATGTATATACCTCCACCATACATACAAACAATGCATGAGCAATCCCATAATCACAAGATCTACCGCACAAAAAAGAATGTGTGGAGTAAACTTTCAAAGGTTCATGACATAAGGTATAGTGATGTGTGCATGTGCTGTCCACGAGGACTACGACGCATATCACACAAGTCGGCAGAATTTTCAGAGCAAGCACAAACACACACACACACACACACACACACACACACACACACACACACATGCACGCACGCACACAGCATACCTCCAGGCGTTCGGACAAGGTCTCGCTGTAGGGACTGAACAGTCCACTCGCATCGTCCTTGTAGAACCACATGCAGCGGCGAACTTCCGACGCTTCTTCTTTCCAGAACACCGAGTGGCGTAATCGAGACGATAAGTCAACATCATAACGTCCACCATCCGTTGGAATAAGATCATTCGTCGTCGATCCAGCGTTGCTGTCGGTTGACTGATACGCAGCTTCAAGACGTGAGGAATCCGACAGAGAGAACGGTGTCCATGGCTCGCCAGTCTTGCAGAAGAACCAGTGCTGCAGTGGCGCCGGTTTCTTTGCTGGCTGATCCAGTGCAGCTAGCAATGGCATTTGATCAGATGCTTCTTCCACTCCTGCAGCTGCTACTGCTGACTCGGCGCCTACTGGTAGTGGAGCGACTAACGCATGCGGTACTTGATGCGCACCGAACGACGATGATACTGGAGGTGCCGGCACTCCAACCATTGATGACGTCGTCATCGGTGGCATTGGGGAAGTCCCCAAGCCTGTGAGTGGCTGAAAGCCTTGCGTGCCGGTGGAAACCGGAATGAGCGGCACGTGTCGGTGTGCGCCGCTACCTTGGCCAACACCGCCTTGCAATGGCTGTGTTGTTGCTGTTGCTAGTGCTGCTGGTGCATGCGCTGTGCTGAAGTAACTACCGGTGGTACTGTGAACAGGCGCAGCACGTGCCAGATCAGGACTGGCCGATCGCGCCATTGACATCGTGGCCGGCTGCTGCGTGGAAATGCCACTTGTCGCAAACGCCGATGTCGGGCCAGCCAGTGACGATACGCCGGGCAAGGCGGGTGATGGCCCGGGCATTGCTGGAATGGAGAAATTTACTGGTACTTGACCTGCGCCTGTGCTAGTAATACTTGAAGAAGATACCACGCTGCCAGCAGCCACAGAAGGCAGACCAGTAGCGCCTGTAGCTGTACCAGTTAGTGCATCTGTGTTGGCAGTCAGTGAACTAGTGACACCAACGTCCGTGCTACCAGCTAGACCAATAGTTCCCAGGGACGACCCGGACGTAGATGATGCAGCCGGCGAGAACGACAGTCCAGACAGGTTCAGATCAGCAGTTCCACGCAATGCAGATAGACCTCCAAAGGAGCTAGGGTCACCAATTGTTGCACCAATGGTACTTGCTGGAGCAGGAGCGGGTGTAGACGATGTACCAGTCCATTTCTGAGCGTCAACGGCTCTGTCGCCAGGAGGTAGGCCCGGCTCAGCCATTGTAGGAGCTGATTGAGGCCAACGCGACGGGCAGAGATGGAACGAAATTCAACTTCTTTACCACTGTGTTTTTACCGCAGAACCAACAAAATAATCAAGAACAAAGGGAAATATTTTTTTCCTTTTGCAGATTCAAAAATCAAAAATCACCAGAGCAGCTAGCTAGTCGGTGACGTCATGGAGGAGAATGATCGATAGGCGACGATAGCATTTTTGTGTTGTGAATCCTTGGTGACGTCAGATTTAGGTGTCGTGATGTACTAAAAATGCACTTGCGGCTATCGCAAGAAATAAAAGAAACGAAGAAAGCTACGCTAGCTGGCTGTGCACATGTGTACGTGTGTGGAGGCTGACTTGATCTTGCGAGGTGTTCGCTTTCTAGTCTGTCCTTGCCAATAGTACTGCTAAATCTCTCGTGTTGCTCCACTGAGCGGGGAACAAGGCAATGGCACTCCCCTTTGTTCGCAGATCGATATGTGCCTCTCAGGCCTGGCACGGTAAGCGTGCCTGCTTGTGACGATCGCGTTCCAACCGAACATGTCACAATTATTTCATTTTTTTGTGTATGCCCATGATACGTTCTTCCAGGAGCAATCCTTTCGTCCCAAGCGAGATCAGTCCATGTGTCTAGCAGTTTGTCCTACAGGCGACCAGAGGTGAACATCCCGGAGGAGAAGTACCCCGGTTCTTACACGGACACAAGCGTCATTCCCCCATCGAACGGCTTGCGACGAGTGGAGCCCCCAGACTGGGATGGCATGGGCTATCTGGACAAGAAAGGATGGTTCCATGAATGGCTGTTCGGAAGGTCACCGAAGGGTGATGATCCTGTAGATGGGGCATACATGGTGAGATGGTGTTGCACGGCCTGGGATTCGTCATGCATTCATGTAGTACTGCACATAGACTCAAAGTCACTCCATGTGCTGCTGCCAGGTATTGGGCAAGGGGACCTGAAGTGAAGGGCTAGGGGTGCAGTTCACAACGGTCACGTGATCCGATCATACCCACAGCTACAGCAGAGCTGGCAATGGGGTACATACCTGAGTGAGCATGATCACTGACTACTGACTACTGCACTCTAACAACCGTTTAACGCATCGATGACGACGACGACCAGGCGTCACCGTACTACGTTGCCACTGTAATGCATACTGGTATGGAGATGTGTGCGCATACACACATGCGCGTGAGCACACACACACATACACACACACACGCGCGCGCGCGCGCACCTCCCAGGTGCAGTTGATGGCAACTGAAATCCGACCTCTGATTTTCATGCTGGAGTACTGCATGGATTCTAGCAATCTCTATCCCGTAGTTTACAAGCGGGTGCTGCGATTTTGCATTGTGAGCGCACGGAGCTGTGATCAGATTTCGGTTGCCACCACTGTAGTTCGGTGAAGCTCACCATTGTAGCCAGTGTAACCATGGTCACTCTGTTTTCCTCTCTCCTCCAACGATGTGTTACGCGTGCGACTTGCTCTGGTGTTCAAGTGAGGAGTTGCTTGATACCAAACATGACCAGTAAGTACATGTGTGTGTGTGTGTGTGTGTGTGTGTGTGTGTGTGTGTGTGTGTGTGTGTGTGTGTGTGTGTGTGTGCGTGTGCATGTGTGTGTGTCACACTGTGCCTTATGTTTCGTCCAGCCACAATCAAGGAAAGAATACCATGAGTGGGAAGAGCTATTGCAGGAGGTAAGCAGTTTGGTTTCAAGTAGTATGTCACAATGTGGGGTTTACTTTTGTATGTCTCCATCTTTTTTGTATGAGCATGACTAACTAGAGGCCTGAGTTAATATGTAGGAATATCATAGAAATGATGGGTCGATGTGTCCCAATTCTGATAGTTCCTGTCAGCTTCACGATTTTGAATGGAATTTTCCTAGCGGTGAGATCTTATTGTGAGGTGGCTTTTTACGTGTCATTCTGCAGGCTCGGGAGGCTTACTTTGGCTCATACCCACCAAAGCCACTGCCAAAAGACTACTACTTTCGTGTGATTGACTTCTGCATCAAGTACGACAATGAGTAAGTACAGTGGAAATGCAGACCCTGCAATGTAACACTTGCCCCGCCAAAGCCTGCCACGCTGCTTCACAGTTGCACACAGGCTGTCATCAGAATAGTCTCACAGTGCTGGAAGCGTATAGCGGTCCAGATTTCTCCTCAAGTGCCAGAGGTAACCCAGGCTCATGAAACGAGCACAGACAAAATTTAATTTGCATTTGGAGATGGTTGCGATGGGATCGATTCCCGGGAGTCAATGTCCTCAGTTTATTTGCTACAGTTCTACGTTTCGCGATGGATTACTTTTGCGATTTCACGCCCATCACTAAAACCGCGAAGGATACCAGATCGCAAAGCCTCTTTCCAGGTTTATAGGAGTAGATAGGGAAAAAACATTTCTTTCTTGTTTCTCTGCAACAATGAATTTCATACTAGAGTTTTTTTTCCATTCGGGATACCGGTAGGGTGCCATATGTCCCATACCGAAGTTTGAAAAAGATCCGACTTCTTTGGGACAATGGAGAGCCAAAATACTGAAAATTCCCCATCTACTGTAGTCCCAAACCAAGTCCATCTCTCTGACGTCATAAATCCGGCCCAGTCTGGGCAAGATAATGACGCCATCATAATGGTCACCAATTTTAGTGCAAACTTCAAGCAGGTATAACTCGGGAACGGCTGCTCCGATCAACCTGGGACCTTCACCATTGGAATCAGTGCATTTTTCGCTACAGGTTGTGAAGTTTTTATTTTAGGGTGAACTAATTACTTCCAAAAGCTGCGGGAGCCTGTCGAGGAGTTCTCATAGATGTATCAATGTTGTGTAAGATTGCACTGTCACTGCTGGTATTGTCCACTGCAACAGGGAATGGCTTGAGAAGACCTTCGATGAGTACCACTTCAAGCACTATAGAAATCCAGACCCAGACTTTGAAGCCTTGGAGAGCAAGGTAAGGCGGTTCATGTGTACACTTCCATCAAGCTTGGCTGTCGGTTCTCGGCGAGTCGTGCATGCACCATGTGTGTCATCAACATCATCCCTGAACATTGACACTAATAATTACGCGGTCGCACTCACAATGCGGGGAAATGTCCCTTCTTCCACTGCACACTGTTATGAACTCATCTGTCTTCTACCCCCGAGAACACATGATTCAACGGATGCAATCCAATAAAGTATAACTACGGTTTACCGGTACCTGTTTTTGTGTGTGTGTGTGCTGGCTGCAGGTTAACGAGTACCGGTCGTTGAAGCGACAGGAGAGGTGGGATACATGGTGAAGAGAAGCTGCACATCTGAACTCCAGCTTCTAGCTGTGTTGTCTCATCGCCACTATTCTATTTCTCTACTCACCAAAGTATCTCCTCATGCAGCTAGTATTGACAACACACCATGCATACTTCAAAGAAGTAATTTGCACTACAAGGCTGCAATTATCAATATACTGCGTCATATACTATTTGTCTAGCATGTTTAATTTAATTTACCCAGTAAAGATGCTGCACACCCTAGTACTAGCTGTTCACAGGTGTGGAGTTCTGCAGTTTCTTTACTCACTCCAAAAGCTACACCCATTACATAGTTGAGTGCCGCGCTGCTTGTACATATAGACAATGTCCACGTAATGTAGCGGAGGCATGTCCTCCCTATTGTAATATCATTATTACCTTTTTTCTGATTAATGTGAGAGAAGCTGTTTGAATTGTTTTTCTTTGACTCACCCGTGGTTCCGGAGAGAAAACAAATTGTAGAATATGTTACTACAAATTTCAATGTCCCCTCGCTAATAATATTATTCATTGCTGCAACAAAGCTAGCTCTCGTCTCCACGTTGCCTATTGATTTGTAGAAAATTGGTAAAATAAATATCATGATGAAAAAATGTCACAGGCATCATAGCGGTGGCAGCGGTGTAGCCTGGCCAAGAATAGCAGCAGCAGCTCATGATCTGAATGTGTTTCGTGTGTACATTGAAATTGCAGGTAGTTTTCTCGTGATTTCTCTACACAATTGGTGCGCATGTCTTTCCTACAAGTATAATTATGCCGATATGAAAAGTGGAAAGTCTAGTTTCATGGGTCTCATGATAGTGTGAAGGCATATGAAATGACATCTGTTCAAAGTAAAATTTGAAAGTAAGTCGAGCTGCAACCGAATTTTTAGGAAGGATTTATAATCGTTGGGCTATGAAATTCAAAACAAGAAGTGGGAATATCCTGAAAATGGATCAAGGTCAACATGACAGCTACCCACTTGTCTACGCAATGAGTTGCTGTTGAGTGATTCTCAGAGTGACGTCACTTCTTCTCTATGTTGAAGAATACATATCGCGACACTGGAGTTCAGGTACCGGTAGATTCGCCGGACCAACGTCAGCAGAGATACTATCCACGCGATCGAAGAGCTCTTCATCTGCTAGCGTCTTCTACCCTTGCGAGACGTCAACTGTGGGCCAGCAATTTGCACGGGTCCAGGGAAAGCACGCGACATGTCGTTATCCTGTAACAATTATAGGCACACATGCCCACACGCACACACACACACACACACACATTGATAATGAAATTGACATCAAGCAGATCTACATGTATACAGACAAGGCGAATGAGTCGAAAGCCGCAAACCCATACTTGCACCAGCAGCACAGCACCTGTGCAGCTAGGGAAAAAATGCAACAACAAAAACACGGGCCCGTACCTTGACGACACGTAGCAAGTCTTTCTCCCGTGGAAGGATGTCGTGTGCATGAAGGAATATATCTAAGCCATGTTTGGCAGCTGTCAGAACACAGGACCAAAAGGAAAAACACAGTTACAGAGCCAGAACACATGTCACCCGAGAGTCAGAGTTTTGTTCTCAGCTCTAGATAAGCCATGGAGTCATGCACTACAAGTAGCACGAGGAACACGCAACCTGAGAGAGAGAGAGAGAGAGAAGAGAGAGAGAGAGAGAGAGGGGGGGGGGGGGGGGGGGGAGAACGAGAGCAAACATTGGATGGCACCATATTCGCCGAGAACTGAGCCACACCAGTCACAACCCCCCCCGCACATCTTGGAAGCAGAATGGCACATTTCCGTTTGTATTGGCTTGTGCTATTCAGGGCATAGGCCACAAGGGTGATTTTGCCAAGTTTCTGGGTGAATTAGAAGAGTGCGACAAAGGACCCGGGAAATACGGTAACATATTTAAAACCTTACCTCGGCCACGTTTCTCATTGCCCGGCGTTATCTTCACTTTGTACCTGGAGCAGGGGAACACAAGAAAATAGAGTGAAACTAATTTACTGATCCAGATAAGGCGTACACTTGGCTACGAGGAGCAAATGTCATAGCACCGATTTCCTCCCATAAAGCAGGATTCACAGAATCTTTTTTTGCGATGCGATGGGCGATGTGACGCGATTTGTGACGGAGGTGTGCGATGCGAAATCGCGAAATACCGTTCACAGAAGAAGTCAGCGATGCGACAACGCCTTGCTGATTGGCGTGAAGTTCAACGCAGGCGGGTACGTCACCATGGCATTCACGTGGTTTGGTACAACTTGTACACATTTACGGGCAACTCTTGAACCTTTGTACGACTTTGCTGCAGAAAAGGTCAAAATCGTATGCCACATCGCTTGTCGCATCGCGAAAGTTGAGCTGAGCTCAACTTCTGCGGTGGCCCAGTTGTGGCAGTTGCATGGGCTTCGAGATGGCTACGATTCGGGGATTTCCTGGTTTCGTGGCCGTCGCATCGCATCGCAAAAAAAGCTTCTGTGAATCCCGAGTGGATGCAAAAGTGCACCCATACACCGGATTAGTGTAGCATAAATGCACGTCCTGCAAAGGATGAGCTGTTTAGGAAGTCCCGTGAAGGGGTTGCCTCCGGTAACACATACTTTTGTTGTATCTGGAGTGAAACTTGTCAGCTGTCAAGAAGCCAGGTCTGCAGCTGACCAGCATGCGGCTGGGGAAAACTGAAATGTGAGCATAGCTGTAACCGACTCAGCCACTACAATTATGCCAGCATGTACTGTTACGCATGTCACGGCTGAGAATCACAGTCTTCTAGAAAAAGATGGTTTTGAGCGGTTTGACACATTGGATGCATATCATTTTAGAGCTGGGTTACAGGTTTGTGAGGCCAACCCTGCGCACAAAGTAGCCCGGATACTGCATGCAAGTAATATTACCATTCCCAATTCCCGATAGAATACACTACACTAGACCAGGGGTTCACTGTATCACAGTAGCGAGGAGCTAGAATTTAAAGGTAATGCTACCTCAGTTCAAACACACGTTTTACAGAAGACAGTGGCATTCATGGTGTATATTACTGGTATACGATAGGAATGCGTCTTCTGGGAAACTAAAAGGGTCACGGTCACCAGACACCCCCACTGTATTGCTTACTTGAAGTTTTGTAATGATGCATACGGTGCTACGACGGGCATGGCAAACAGCAAGATGTCGTCCTCTCGTGGACACCCGGTGAAGCTGCTGTAGAAGAGAGAGTCCTGCTCACCGGAAGGCAGCGTGGTGTCATCCTCACCTGCCTCATCACCAGACGCCTGAAGCGAGAAGCACAGCGAAACATTTAAATTTGAATAGAAAGTATTAATTTTGAGCAGCAATCACACATGGCCACATTCAAGATAAGCACAGCGATAGCAACGCAGGATCATGAGACCAGCAAAGAATGCTTGCAAACATGACATGGATAGGAATACATTTCAAAGATCATGCACCGAAGAAACTACTACAGCGTGCCGGCAAGTCTCACCCGATTCTCCTCTTCCTTTTCCTCCTCTTTCTCATCTTCTGTAAAGCAAACAAAACAAACAGAAAACGAACAGACATACAGTAAAAGCTGCTGTAAGCGACCTCTGGGTATAGCGACCACCTGCTCTTAAAGACCGTTTATCCATGCACCGACAGTTCTACACAGACACTGTGGGACCTGGTTCTAAAGACCACCTGGCTTTAACGACCGCTTTTGCTTGCACCATGGGTGATCGCTTCAACCAGGTTTTACTGTACACCATAGGGTGGTACAAACGGCACTACAACGCATGATCAGACAACAACCCAGCTAGCAACACTACAGCACTGATACTGCAGTCGAATTTCGACAGTGATGATGGTGCCAGCCGTCTGAAAAGGGTCCAACATGAACATCATAATCAAAGCACAACAGCCCTACAGAGATGCTCAGCGTACCTTCACCCTGCTCTTGTTCGTCTTGACTATTCACACTTGCCGCATCTTCATCGTCGCCTTCGACTGCTAGCTGGTCTACACCAGCTGCAACATCCTCAGTTGACTTCTCCAAGTCATCCTCGGAATCATCACGAATCGGACCAGGCGAGATGCTCCGCAACTCATCAGAGCTCAGGTCCGCCATCTCTTCGTCGCTCTCCTCTAGAGCAGCCTGAGCCTGTTTGGCTGCCTGCGCTTTCTTGTGATGGCCCAGCAACTCGCCGAGGCTGGGCGCTTGCTGGCCGCGAGAGCCACGGCTTCCCTCGTCGTCTCTTGCGTCTGCACCGCTCTTTTGATTTCGGCGCGCTTTCCCCCTCTTGCCCTTCTCTTTCTTGCCAGGATTCGATGGTCCAGCAGACTGCGAGCAAAGACAGCATCAGAAACACAGGTAGAGCATGGTATGGACAAGCCCACCATGTACTAGTACAGTATGTCCGAGTACACGTATGGAACACTTTAACCTACATGTAGTCACTGCAAACTGGTACATTGTACAATCAACGACGACCAATATGATCATTCAGCGTTCCGAACCGCATACAATATCCACGTAGTATGATTCATGTACATGGAGATATGTGCACTGGACAAGTATCACACAGTGCACAAGACACATGCGTCTGCACGTGGAGAAATATTTTTCAGTTCCCTAGAATTAATTTGCAACTGGCATACCTGAAGCAGCTTCATGCGCATTTCCTTTTCCTCCTCATCCTGGTCAGCGTAGCGCTCTTGTGCTTTGCGTAACTTTGCCTGCATATTCACATGGAGCAGAGCAGCAAAGAGCAAGCCGGATTAATCATTAGCAAACCATTTGCAAATAAATGCCTTCGCCGACTTACAACACAGAAGGCCTGCCAACTTAACTGAGGGTCAACAGGGAAAGACAAGAGGATGTGAGGCTCAACAGTGCAATGACAGAAAACAGATAGTCGGTAAGCTCCAAATCTCAACAAACTCGAGAAGCTCTAGGAATGTTGCACAGCGGAATTTGTACTTGTACCCCTCCCCAATGCAGTTGGATAGACTGTCACACACCTTCTTTCCTCGCTTAGGTCCCGTAGTTGTGGCCTGTACATAGTGGGAGACGGAAGAACGACAACTCTAGGCATTATGACCATGGTGTAATGATCACCTCAGCATTACACTCATGAGAGACAGAAGAACGACAACTCTAGGCATTATGACCATGGTATAATGATCACCTCAGCATTACACTCATGAGAGACAGAAGAACGACAACTCTAGGCATTATGACCATGGTATAATGATCACCTCAGCATTACACTCATGAGAGACGGAAGAACGACAACTCTAGGCATTATGACCATGGTATAATGATCGCCTCAGCATTACACTCATGAGAGACGGAAGAACGACAACTCTAGGCATTATGACCATGGTATAATGATCACCTCAGCATTACACTCATGAGAGACGGAAGAACGACAACTCTAGGCATTATGACCATGGTATAATGATCGCCTCAGCATTACACTCATGAGAGACGGAAGAACGACAACTCTAGGCATTATGACCATGGTATAATGATCACCTCAGCACTATACTCATGAGAGACGGAAGAACGACAACTCTACAGGCATTATGACCATGGTATAATGATCGCCTCAGCACTATACTCATGAGAGACAGAAGAACATCAGCTCTAGGTATATTGCAATGGCGTAAAGATAAGCTAGGCAATACACTCAAAAGTAACAGCAAACAACGTTGCTACATACAGGTATTTAGTATTTACCAGCATGAAGGATGGTAGCAATATAGAGTGACAACAAAAATGACAAACCAAAGCTGAACAAGAGAAAGAAGGGTGCATGTACAGCACTAGAGCATGGAACACAGTGGCAACGTCTATATAGCACAGGGTAGCCATACAACCATGAACACAAGTACAGAACAAACTAGAACAGGTTAGTTCAGCACATCAACACCGCGTTCCTCTTACCGGTGCGGCAGCAATGTCAGGTGTCGTTTGTGACTGTCTTCCGTCAGGCGCTTGGGACTTCCCCTTGCCCTTCTGATTTCTGAGAAACAGCAGTGAGACGTTCACATGAACAGTAAACATCAAAACATGTAAAACAAGACATAGGCAGAACCACACACCACACATACACACATACACACACACGCACACAAGCCCCCCCCCCCCCCCCCCCCACACACACACACAGCCCTGATTACCAGTATTACTACATGTACCACAGAATATGCAGAGGTGCAGCAGCGCTCGCTTACTTTGCCTTTGTAGTTGACGGAGGGGGTGCTGCTTCCTTTCGAGATGCTATGGCTGACAAGCGGACGGGCTCGTTGTCGCCAAGATATACAATGTCTTCATCCTCATCACGACCTGCCGCTACATTCTCACTCGCAGTACTACTAACAGATATCTGGTACTGGTACCTGCAAGCCAAGTGACAAAGGCCAAACGACACACACAAGAAGACAGTAGAAGTTTAGACTGGACACACAACATTTAATAACTAACACTGCTATAAAGTATAAACACTGGTTATGCACATGTACATGTCTGACATGCTGTCCGGATTCCAAAAAAAAGGGTAAGCCGTTGCCAACTTTGTATGGCACATTGTCGTTGGGACTAAAACAAAAGGCAGAACAACGTCTATATTATACGATTACAGTGCACAGCTTGTGATAGTAGAGACTACTAGAGAGGTTCCGCACTACGTAAAGTTGAGCAACTTTACGTTCAGTGGGCGGGAAAAACCCGTGAATTCGCGAGTTTGCACTCCACGTACGGAAAGTTGTCCACGGAGAGTACGTAGATAGGGCTCTGTTAACGTAGCTGGTCCGTAAGTGGATTGGGGTACAAATTTATGACTCTCTCTCCCCAGGTCGATCTGGTCGTACACTGCCGCGTTCGGAGTTGCCAAGGGCAGCTACGTGATTTGTAAATTCTGTATGGCGGAACACAGATGCGCATGCAGTTTCCGTAAGACTTTACGTAATTACGTTATGTGGAACCTCTCTAGTATGTAACATGTGATGCATCCCCATCCATTCCTCCGCCGTTCGAAAATGAATTACATGTACAACAAAAAACACATTGGGCGCGTTTGACTACACACAATTCCGTCCATTCTAGAATTCGTAACGGTGCATGCACCGTTCGATTACACAGATTTCATCGCCAGAATCAACGGACTCCAATTCCATGGATTCTGAAGAGAGAGCGGAATTTCTAATTCTTCCATCAGACTTTACGCACTCGACGTACACGCCATGCTTGTTAGGCTGTCATCACACCATGGTACAAAGCGCTGCGTCTACGTCCACGTAAGGAGTTTTTGGTCGGTTGTCATGATGATCCGTATACGGGGTGAAAACGGGAGCAGAGGAAACGGGAGACGTAGACGTGGTATGGAGAGGGGGGGGGGGTATACGACTTTTGTATGAACGTGCGTATCTCCCCCAGCCTTTTTCCGAGCGACCCTGTACTTCGATGTACGTGGGTTCAAATTTCTCCAAAAACCTGACTGCATGTACGCGTCAAGAACTGTGCCTGTCTGATGACACGACCACCCGTTTTGGTTTTTTCACCATATACGTAGACGTAAACGGGAGTCGGAGAACGTAGTGTGATGACGGCCTAAGTCCGCGCGACGCGCGTGCGGGAGGGTGTACGGGATCCCATGTGATCTCCCTGTACGATTTTTATGTGGTATGACACGATTAGAATGCGGGGTGAATTCCAGTCGTTCACGTTTACATGCCCGCAATCAGTTCATACTGGCCATTCGAGTAAAACCTGGGTCCAGAATGTACTAGTACATGTATAATCGAACGCGTCTATTGTGTTGAAATCACACGAATGTGACGAAAGAAAAGAAAATGAACGATCCAGTAGATATCCATTCGGTACGGAAATCTAAACGTCTACTACAACTATATAGCACTAAATCGGACTAATACTGCGACCAAGGAAAGGGATCCGCGGTCCGGGATAGCTTGTACATAGGGTTTTCTTGGTGCGACAGAAGCCAGCACTTCTTTCTCCATTTTCGCAATTTCGGACTACTATACACACGTGCACATGCACGTACGTTCGTGCAAAACGATGGACTGCGACAATTGAAATTCACCCGGGTCGTGGAGGTTCAAGCGAACTGTTATTTTTGTGGACTGAACTGACCGGAAACCTGCAGTGGCTACACCAAACTCGAAGACAAAAAAATAGCCGCAACAACAACCGATGGATCGTGAAGGAGTTTTACACCAAACTCAAAGACAAAAAAATAGCCGCAACAACAACCGATCGATCGTGAAGCAGTTTTTGTCGTGCAAGTGCCAAGCGCCAGAACAGATCCAGTCCAGAGAGAAGAAAAAGAAAAAATGAGCGTGCTTCCAGCAGGGCTCGAACCTGCGACATTCGCGTTATTAGCACGACGCTCTAACCGACTGAGCTATGGAAGCTCACGCAAATCAGGTGGGCTAATCAGGACTATGACAGCACTGATTAGCCCAACTGATTATTTTATGCATTGGTGACTGGGGCAGGTATCGGGCTTCCGCACAGAGACGCCGAGTAGATCGGGCCATTCAGGGAGTTGTCAAAAGTGATGTCAGACACCGGAGGACCTACAAATGATTGTTCTGACCTATCAGTATCCCTGCAGCAGATCTACACTCGTACACGCAGGCGATCTTCTCACAGCCCTTGGTAAAATACTAACGACTCCCTGTCGGTACCCAAACTTCCCCTTGCCCCAGATCCTGCAACCCCCCCCCCCCCCCCCAAATATCTTGACTGCGCAATGCATACAATCAATGTAAATTTTCCTTTACGAATACTTCTGCGTGTAACCAAGACGGCAAGAGTGTGCAACTGTGATCTCCGGCCTTTCAATGAGCCATCTGCTTGTTTGCATCTTGCAGGGTGGGATCAGTCTTCGTGGCAGGGAGTAGTCAGACCCTGTTCTGAACACTCCAGCACCGGTGCAAACCAGTCAAACATGTGTGATCTGACTGGTCCTGCTCTGTAGTTTCATACCAGACAAACTCGCCCTAAGACATCAAGAGTTACTAGTACCGTAAAGTACCATTGATCCGCCCTCCACGCCATGTCGCTTCCCAGCTGGGTTTTCGGCAGGGGGCGGGAATTACATCAAGGCTGTCAAGTGCAGTACGATATACAACAACGTGGAGGATCAGACTCGATGCGCTGGATTGTGCACATTTTCATCCTGGATTGGCACGTTTTGTGTACAGCAGTGCATGCGTCGGTTCAACATCGTACTTCGTTGTATACGCCGAAGTCGCTTCACAGGTAGAAAATTGACAGGGGGCGGATCGGTACTTTACGGTAGTACTGGATATCTCATCACATTGTGGGCTCACTGACCAAACACCGAAATCACAAGGCGATGAGCTGAAGTGCATGCAGCCATGCACATTTTCTTAGGACTCCCTGGTCTGTCATCAACCACCCCTGGTTCGTTTCCACTTTTCAGGTTACAAACAGCAACGCACAACATTAATTCTGTCTGAAAACTCTTTGGACGAGAATAACAACACTAAATTCCTAACAAATACTTCTGCGTGTACAGCATTGTGCTCAGCCCGGTGTGAGATCAGCAGAAACAAACCAGATGGAAACCGTAGTGTAGAAGACCTGCTTGTTAAAACTTGAGAAATATACATTTCATCAGGTGTGCAAGGATGGACTAGGATGGAGAACCTACTCAGTTGGAAGGCTGTTGGAATGCGCATCCACCCAGTTGGAAGGCTGCTGGAATGCGCATCCAAGACGCGCTAGAACTGATTGACAATTCGTTGTAGAACGTCAGTACCGTCGGCCAGTGTCGTGCAATGGTATCGCACAAGCTGATTGTTTGTAAAGTAACTTGTGGTGGTACACTGTAGTGAACATTATAGCATAACTTGTAGTTCCTTGGTCCTTTTCTTTGCTACAATTATACATTTTCTGTTCTTTTTTTTGGCACAATTTAGTAACAGGTTAGCGGATACTGACCAGTACAAAAGTCAAAAGTCACGTCAAGAGTACATAAAGCGCAGCATGCTGCATGACAGCACACTGTGTACGGATCATCATGAGTCATGGCATATCCTGTCATATCCATAGGTGCAGGGACAAATCACCGTATCACTTAGATGATAGTGGGGGAAATTCACCTGAACACTTGCACTTGTTTACGCTATGCACATAGTTCATAAATCTCTGAAAGCTCAGTGGGGAGTAGCATGGAAAGATTATTTTTAAGTAGTACTAATTCTGACCTCTGCAGCAAGGGCTATGTGGCGTTGCAACTTACTTGTTCGCTTGACCAGTATGTCTCACATCCACGACCGTATCCGGGAAGAGTGGCGCTCCTTCGATGTCTCCGGCCCCTGCAGAAAACATAACATTCGGTCTCTCAGAACACAAGCACAGATAGCAATGCTACCAGGAGAACCGCTATATCGTACCAAGGAAAAAGACCAGGCTGCCAGCATGAAAACTTGAAAAGTGATATTGTGATAGGCTTGGGTATGGTCATGGCACATCTATTCTGCATGCTCCACAGATACATCACCCCAGATCGTGAAGCTTCACATAATATAGCACCCCCCCCCCCCCCCCCACACACACACACATCCAGATGAGGTATAAAGAACTTTTTATAGACCTTGCCCAGCAAACGCTTCAAGAACTGCATGCCATACAGTACACACAAGAGACATGCACTTTGTTGAATAGTAACGACGTGTACAACACAGTAGAGTAGAGCCAAGTAGAGGCAGACGTTTGAAAGCCCCTGGCAACTGCACCTGCACCATTGTGCACTACTTAGGAGAGGAGTGCTGTTGCTGAGCGTGATACTTGAACACTGCACAGGGGATTGCTGTTGCTGAGCGTGATGCTTGAACACTGCACAGGGGATTGCTGTTGCTGAGCGTGATGCTTGAACACTGCACAGGGGATTGCTGTTGCTGAGCGTGATGCTTGAACACTGCACAGGGGATTGCTGTTGCTGAGCGTGATGCTTGAACACTGCACAGGGGATTGCTGTTGCTGAGCGTGATGCTTGAACACTGCACAGGGGATTGCTGTTGCTGAGCGTGATGCTTGAACACTGCCCAGGGGATTGCTGCGAACGCAATGGAGATGCCCTACACAATGGATGCAAGTTTGATCAGCCCCCCCCCCCCCCCCCCCCCGTTAACGAGCAGATGCAGAATGCTATAACAAAAAGAAAGAGGACATTGGTGAGCGAGTCCTTACCCGCTGTAGATTCAGCAACAGTAGCCGTCTCGACCGTGTTACTCATAGCTCCACTGGCACTGGCACTAGGATTGTCAGTAGTGGTGGCGGTATGCACAGAAGCCTGCAGACAACAACCAGGAGTACAACACAGTCAAGCAATACTGATACAACCATAGTAAGAGTGCCGAGGCTTCCCGCGGCTTAGATCTTACCACACAAAGACAACATAAACCCCAAACTATATCTGTCATACATGAATAATTGACTGCTAACTTATAGGCAGGTCTACAGATCTCGGTACGGGCATTGGATTATTGTTGTACTGTACGTCCTAGATGTACCAAGCTCTGCCGAGACAGGGGCTGGCAGAAGCGAGTGGAGTATGCGTTTATACCA